AAAAAATCAACAATGCATATTGGTTGATGCCGTTAACATTTATTTTGACTAAAATATAAACAAGAAAAATATTTTGACTGTAAATTAAAAAAAGTTGGCTCAAAAATTTTTGTTTATAAAAAATTTACTTGTAACGTGACAAATATTTGAAGGGTAAAATTATTTTACATAAAGCACATTCACATGATTCAATAATAAAAGGTTTGCTCACAAAATAGTTTTCTCGCTCCCTCTTGACAAAATCGGCTCCCTTAGCAAGGCACTGTGTGTGTGTGCAAATGCGTGTACATATGCATGGAATTTTGAGGTTCGAAGGAAGGGGAAATTCAATTGAGTATTGAAAAAAAATCTGCTTTGATTATGGGCCAGCCACACGTGCATATGCAAGTCCGAAAAACTCTGTATATTCGCTTTTAGGCTGTTCGAATAGATCTGCAGTGAGAAATATCCAGCAGCAACTAGTAGGAGAGTAACGAACAATTCTCTCTCAAATAAAAAAAGAATACGCAAAAAAAAATACGCGAACGCAAAATTAGCAAAAACATGCAAATTATATGTAAAGCTGATCGAAATGTTGTTTACATAAAAATGCATAGAACAGAAATCATGAAGAGAATATACAGCGTGGCGACAAATAACTGTTACCCAGGTTTATTTGAGAAATAAAAGGGTCCTTTATAGATTTTGCGAAAAAAGTATTTTATTGTTAATTTTCCACAGATTTTACTTTAGTTGTATTAATTAGTTTTTAAATTTTAATTCTTATTTACATTTGCCAGCAGTGTAAACTTTAACAGAAAAGTTCATTTGGCACGCAGGTCTTCGTCAGTTCATTTATTCCATATCTTCTGTAACCATAGGCGTATTTCCCCCATTTTGAGTTTCATATACTCGCCCTTTTGTCCAACATAAGGCCTCATACTCAAAAATCGAAGACTCGGAACTGGTGATTAGGACGGCCATTCATGCGACCAACCTATACAGTATTTTCTTTTTTGTATTTTTTATAAAAAGCATAAGAAAAAATACACCTGAAAAAGACTTGCGGCCAAATGAACTTTTCTCTCAAAGTTTAAACTGCTGGTAAATAGGGATTAAAATTAAATAACTAATTAATAATTTATGCGCATCTTCAAACTGGGATGATTGTTTTTTTTTTTACGGGAACAAAGTTAATGTCACAGGAAGCTTGCATTGGCCACTTGCAAGTGCCAGGCCTTTTCGAAGTTTTCGATCATTTCTATTATCTACTTGCAGCGTGCAACTAACACGTGTGATCGCGTAAAGTTAAAAAAAATGTTTTTAAATAAAAAATAAAAAACAATTTGAGTGTTGCTGTGATTCGATTCTATTTACCGTAAGTGCCATTTTACACGCTCCGGGTTTTGACTACCCGGCAGCCGGTTTGCCGGCACAAGTTATATGTAATCGGCCACCACTTTGTGCAAAAGCTGCCTGTAATTACTTTACATCAGTAATGCTCAGAGAGAGCTTTCAATGAGGGAGTGAGAAAATAAGACTATTCCTTGAAAGAATAATAGCTAAAATTTAACATTTTTGTACCAAAAGTAAAAAACAAAATACATGCAAGTTTTTGTTTTTGCACTAACACTTCTGCCTGAAATGAGTTTGGCTTAAAATATTCTTTGTTCTTTTAAATAAAAAAATCAGAAAATATCTTTAAATGGTATTTAAAGAAATAAAAATTAATAAGACGAAGTTTACGCGCGGAAACTTTTGACGTCGCGATTTTGGGAATTCTTTGTGGGTGTTTCTCTTTCGTTTGCAATCGCTGTCAGCTTTGAACCCACAACAGTTGGGTTCCCACGACAGTCGGGTGTACGTAACCGGAAAGACCCAGATTAATATCTGGCCAAGGCCTGCCTCTCCAGCATCATTCCCCAAAAACGCTTTGGGGAATTTATATGATGTTACAACAACAACAACCTACAACAGTCGGGTGTACTCAAACTCTGTTATGGAGAGACATGTCCCAGCGAGTACACTATGACTGTACTGAGGGTATGGAAACAGACTGAATCTTTCAGTTACCTTGGAAATCTTTCCAAGCATCTTCTAAGCGGAAGTGTTTGCCATTATTCTGAGCGCAGAGATTAACCTTCGTAGGAATTATCGAAGGGAGAGGATCTTTATACTCAGCCCTATTCTGCATTTCGATTACGTTCCCGCATTCCGCTCCGCAAGAATCGAACTTAGGTATTCTGCGCTACGATCGAATCGAAAGAGGAAGAGAGAAAACATCTTTCAAAATCAGCTGTTTGCCTAGGAATTTGTGAACTCGAAACAAAACAAAGAAATATTGGCCACCAAACTATAGCAGCTTATGAAGTTGGAGTTTGTAAATATTTTAAAATAACTAAATATATCTAGCATCACTATAATTTAAAAATAAAATTTCGCTTGCTCTTAATTTAAGTGGAAACATATTATAAGAATGAAATCCATAGCCGAGGCGTTATTGCTTGAAGAGGGGGACGAGTCCCAGATTGCTGATGCGGAAGTTGAAAGGCGGAGATTTAGGGACATGTTTGATCCTTCTCAGATGAGTGAAGAGTAATAAGAAATTCATCTTGAACTGTATTACTCATCCCTCAAATCCAGTTATCTTATAAACGTTGTTTGAGCAGTCCACAACATTTGCATTTACTACAGAGTGGAAGATTTGAACGCAAATGAATTCCATTTTGAAAGCCGTCAGGAGGAGGGGAAGAACAAAGCTTATCCTTCCATAGCAAATCGAATTCGAGACAACATACACACCTCTTTTTAAAAAGTTAGTAAAATCGAGTGCAATAATAAAAACATCTTTTTTATGAAACTTCACATTTTATGTATGTATGTATCTATGTGCATATATCGATTAATTTTATATAAAAAGAATAAATTGTATTCAGTGCATTTCACAGTCTTATTTATAGATAATGAAAACAAAAACGCCTGGACTTCCACTTTGAAAACGTCGCGCAATATAACTTTTGGTTGCCATTATTTGAGCCATTTTTCGTATTGCCCGTATTACCGCTCGCGAAAACACAGAAATCGAGAAAATTCATTTATGATGGCGTTTACAATCTTGCACAGTATATATTACTTAATTTTTTTAATAAAATTTTATTATTTAAACTCACGAAAATAACAATCGAAACGTCAGCAAATTTGCAACTTAGAAAAACGGAACTACGATCGAAATGTAGAATAGGTATAATCGTAAATTTCGAAGATTGATCGAAACGAAACGGAACGCAGAATACTAAAGTTGCCAAACGGAGAGAATTTCGATTCGAGTGGAAATGCAGAATAGGGCTGACTAAGTGATAGTCAGGCGACACTTATGGCTCTCTCAACAGCCGTGGGAAAGAAGTTCATAGACTTTGGGGCTACTAGCTGTATTGTTGGCCCGAGTTGAGGGCGCAATCAACCTACTGCTCGCAGTGCTTACTCTATTTATCTATATCCAATCGGAACTACCCAGATTTATGTAAACCTGGCCAAGCACCATTACTTCCTCAACATTCTGCAAACATTTTTTTTTTGTGAAATTCGTATGCTATTACAACAACAAAGACAAATTAGAGAGCAACACTCGCCGCAACAAAAGTAGCCTTGTGTAAACAGCGTCTAAAATGATATTTAGATATGTTCATAGATACATATGTATATACATTAGGGTGGTCCTTAAATGTAGGAAGGAAATTTTGACATCAGATTTCTTAAGCCGATGCTACTATAGTCGAAGATCACATATAAATTTTGGTCCCGATTGGAGACGGTTAAAGCGCGTCGCACAGGAGGCAAATCTCTATGGAGACTCAAAAAATTTTAATTAATTTTTTTTTATCTAATACCCAAAATCGATAGTACTTTAGTCGAAGATAATAATAATAATAATAGATTGGCGCTTACACATATGTTAGTAATTGGCCGAGCTTCTCCTCCGACTTGTGGTGTGCGCCTTGATGTTGTCACACAAAGCGGAGGGACCTACAGTTTTACGCCGACTCGGAACGGCGATTGTATTTTTATGTTCGTGGCAGAAATACACTCGGAGGTTTGCCATTGCCTGCCGAGGGACGACCGCTGTTAAGAAAAAACCTTTTTCTATATTTTTTGCGATGTTGCTTTGACCAGGGCTTGAACCCAGGAGCTGATGAACGAAAGCGCGCACTGCTTACCTCTACACCACAGCGGCCTTCGACTTTAGTCGAAGATATAACATTTTAATTTTGGCCCCGGTTAAGGTGCGTCGCACAGAGGTCAAAGTTAAAATTACCCTATGAAAACGTATTAACCGACTGCAATCGGGACCAAAATTTATATGTGATATCTTCGACTTTAGTAGTATCGATTTTGGGTATTAAATGAAAAAAATATTTTTAATTTTTGGAGTCTCCATAGAGGCATCTGGCCTTTGACACACGCCTTAACCGACTCCAATCGACCGACCAAAATTTATACGTGATATCTTCGGCTATTTGAGTATCGATTTTGGGTATTAGATGAAAAAAAATTTATTTTAATTTTTTAAGTCTCTATAGAGAAATCTGAACTTTGCCACCTGTGTGACATGCCTTAACCGTCAGGACTAAAATTTATATGTGATATCTGTGACCACGGTACTACCGATCGAGGGGGTGAGACTGAAGAAAGAATCGTTCATTTGATTTTTTAAGGACCCCCCTAATGCACATACATATGAGCGACTTTAACTTCGATTAAAACTCGATTGCCAAGAAATATATTTTCTTAAATGAATTTAAACGTGATTTAACGGTGACGTTAAATAAATATCAACTTCAAATTAGTTTAAAAAAATATATAATTCACAGGTTAACGCAACCCTTTTAACTAATACTTTATTTTCCGTCGTAATATCTTGCCTAGTAATGTCATGCTTCGTCCCTAGAATATTAGATTTTATTTAAAATGTACAGAGAAAATTAAAAGAAAAGTCCTTGCTGACATAAACAAATTATTGCCGATTTTAGTAGATTTGTATACGATTTTGTTGAGTTTGCCCTTTATTTTCTTTTTTTTTTCAAGCATGAATAATGGCTCTCTCTCCATCATTTATAAAAAATACGGTCAAGCGCAAATTAATTTTTCAAAATTTACAAAATTTTCCTCATTTACATACACACTTATCGATCCAATACACTTCGCCGTTTCTAAATTATTATGTCTTAATATTTGAGTTAAAAATTAATATAATGTGATTTTACAGCCATTAGCTTTAAGCAAAATTAGTTGAAGCTTTGCATTTATTTAAGCTTTGGGGCGTATTCATTGTTAAAATAAAGTCGACCTAAAAGTACTTTGTATCTGCTTGCTTATTCCATTTGTCGTTTAAAAACTAACTACATTTCACATTCTACGTTCGTTCTTTATAACAATACACACATGATTTAACTGTTTTAAGGTAGTACAAAACACAGATTTCGATTCCAGGTGAGGGAAATTGCAACTAAAAATGTGTACATACATATGCATATATAGACAGACGACTGTACCTACATGCAAACAAATAAATTGAAATATATTATACATATATGTATTTATTTACACATATTCTTGATGAATTCTTCATTTTACCATCAATGCAACAATTATACAAAATGTATTTATTTTCTTTGTTTTTCAGTGCCTAACAAAATATTTTTTTCTTCACCAAACAGTGATTGTAACACCAAAAGTACACTAATGACAGCTTAGTTAAACAACATGCATATACAGAAGGTTTTTGTTTTTGAAATCTTAAGCGCATACTCTTGGTCTTTTCACAAAATGACAAACGAAAAATTTTAATAGGTGTAAAAAATATTCAGTTCATTTACAAATATTGTGGCTGTTGGTTATATTCCCCCTCACGTGTGTGGTATTGCTCCCTATATCCTATAAACCATATCTAAACGTATTTAATATTTTATAAAGTAGTTTTAAAAATTATGTTTAAAAGTATGTATATATGTTATATTTGCGCTTTCCTGCCAAGTGTTCACACATTTTTATGATTATTTGCTTACACCTTAATGTGTTCACCTACATTTTTTCTAGTTTTCTTATATGCATAGTGCCTTTTTTATGTATACATGGATAGATTTGTTTGCGTTTTATATCAACTATAATTTAAGTATATTTAATGTTTATATTTAGTTGTGTTAAACCAAGGATGTGATAAAAACGTGTATTATATATTATGTATGACAAACTACTCGCTATATGTAAGGGTAGAGAAAAAATCTTCGAATGGCATACTGCGTTTCTTAGCCATCTTCCTTTGGCGGGGTGAACCAGCCTAATAGAGAAAAAAAAGAAAAAAATGGAAAATGATGATTACTGTTGCGTATGCAATTAATATTCGACGTACCATTCTTCTCGTGTATTTGCACCAGGGACTTGAAGCTCTGCTGTGCGCGTGCCAAGCTGTACTGACCCTGTGATAAGGCCTAAAGTTGGGATTTAGAATTCCAAAACAAAAAACAAAATAGCAAAATCTCAAAAATGACTTAGAAACTACAGTGGGTCGCCACAAAATCATTGAAGACAGTACTCATATTTGCATATTAATTACTAGGTTAAAGAAAGTAAGGATTTTTATAATCGATATAGGAGAAGCCCTCCAGCCTGAGGTGTATAATATACACACAAAATTTTGTCATTACAGTATAAAACCTGAACAAATTTTTGCGTCTTTCGAGCGTTCCAGTTTAAATGAAACTCGTTAGTGTTTTTGAATAGCAAGGAATTAAAGAAATGCAAGCTTTAAAATAAAACTCGACACGATATTTAGCTTTAAGAAATTACTAAAGCGCAGATAAAAATGATATAAACCCATAGCAGAGCAAATGCGAGACTGGCGATCGATTTTTGTCAGATTTGTTTTGACTGAGTCAAAGCTTGCTAAATAGTAGCAAATGATTTAGTACACGAGTTGAATACACCCATTCTCAGTTATCAATGAACATACTCACCTTAAGTTAACAGCTATTTGAAAAGTGACATTTATGCTAAGTTTCCTGTTTAAACTTTCTTGCAATCATGAAATGGGGTTGTAATGCAGTCACGGAAAATCAATCGAAATTTTGTGCATCGTACCGTGAAGATATTCTAAGAGACTAGTCGAATTGTCGAGCGTGAAAAATCGTGGTGTGGCCGCACAGTGCGAACGCCATATGCCGCCGTAAATCGAATTGATTGAAAGTAGCTGCGCAAGCAGAAAATCATGGGTCGGGAAATGAATATAAACAAGGACAGCATTTCTCACATCAAGAAACATGACTTGGGACTCAGCGCGTAAAAGACACACACCTTACTTACATAAGCATTGAAACAAAGGCGTAAGTAAAACTTTAAAGCCTTGCTTCGACAGTACAACGGTCACATACTTAACTGTGAAAGAATTGTTCAATAAATAGAAGATAGTAGTGCGTATGCTCTGGTTAAAAATTCAAATTATATTAATAAGCTGTCTGATCAAGGCGAATTTATATAAGATGGTGTTACTAGACCAGCTGATTTTGTGAATGTGTTTCGCCTCAAAGCTTAGAATGTCAAATTGAAATATTTTGTTTGCTCTTCCACACACACTCTTACAGATTTTGACAGTTTAAGCCGCAAAAGCAAAAACAAAGTACATGTAAATTTTTGTTTTTGTACTCCAGCTATCACACATGGTTCTGCGATTGATGACATTAATAACACGGTGCTACAAAAAAGGTCATGAAATACACGCAAAACAAAACCTAGTGTGGGTTTTAGCTACGGTCGAGTACATCATGGAAACAGGTCCCGTATAGTTCCTGAACCCTCCATTTTTTATACCAAAAACCCGTTATTTTCGTACTTGATGCACTTACGTATTAATAGTTTGACTATTTTCCATCCGATTTCAAAAGTCGAACAAGTTTTGAAGAGAGGATTTATAGACCTCTCAAACGATGTGTGCATTCGCGTACACAAAAATCCAGCAAAGTAAGGGAAATTAAGAGATCAAACTGACATTTATTTTAGATGAAAAGCTGCTAGTTTCTACTGGAAAAATATTTGCCAGCAATAAAAACGGCTGATCGAAGTCATCTGTTTGCAAAAAAAAAGAATAATATTAAAAAAAAAAAGCTTTAGGCAAACTTGGAATCTACATTATTTTCATGTTTTCCGTTTTATGCTTTTGTATGTAAACAAAATTTCGATGAGCAAGTTGCAAGTTTTTGCAGGTTTTGCGTTCGCGTACTTTTGAAAGTATTTCTCTGCTTGAGGGAGAACAAATAAAAATTCATTTGAATTTTGCTGTTGCGAGTTTTCTGCTAGACGGATACGCAAATACACCTAATATATGGTAGACTTAGCTTGTTGGGAGTTTTCATCGGTTAAAATTTTTTAATTTTTTCAGCTTCGATCATCGCTATTTCAAAAATTTTTATGAAAGTTGCCAAATGTGTGGTATTTATCTAAAAGAACATTTATTTTTGAATAAATTGATACCTCATCTAATGGAATTGCATAAAAATTTCCAAATTTCATGCAGTCAGTTTGGATATACGGTGGAAGCCTCGAGCTCTTTTTAAAAGTTTACCAGTGTCCTCATGGAGGACAACATTTTTTCCTGCTGATTACTTCTTTCCATTGGCTTAGTATCATCAGTTGATTCAAGGTTTTGGTGTCAACCTGGGCTTTGCCTAGGTTTGTAGGCTTCTCCAGTTGCCCGAAGGCTCGATTTCATTTTAATTTAGAAGCGATTCATTAAATGTTACACTACCTAAATATCGATTCTCTTTTGATATTCAGCGCAATGTCAATGGTTGAAAACAGTTTTTGATGTATATTTGATTAAGCAGAAATGTTACGCCATTAAAGTTAGTTTCTTCCTTATTTAAACGTCTTTTTTTAGCATCGACATTTTCGGAAGAAAAGTCAATCGAACTAATTCTAGTTTACTTAGGAGCTCATCACCTTCAAAATCTCACAATTCCTTCTTTTATGGTAGTAAAATTGTTAATAGTTTGGTATTTCAATTCACTGTTTGACAAATCGCAAGACCTGCGAAGTTTTTCGTAGCTTCCTTTCTAATTAAACCCTTAGAGCTGTGTTTTGATTCCACGCGCGACTGAAGCGAAACGTTTTCCTATTAACCGTATAGCTCCCCATATTATATGAGTATTTTTCTGCATACCCTCCCTTCTGTCGCTTTTTCGTATCATTGGAGTTTGGAATTAGAGCACAACGATTGTGCCGATTTTTCGTTGCATCGATGCTCGCATTTATACTCAACCGAGCGCAAGAAGTTTAACTTCAAAAAAATTTGAATACTGTCCCTCAATGGTCATCCACTGTAAATAAGAGACTTACCTTTGTAGCGCCAAATTGTATTCTGGCTTTGCCTTTTACCAATGTTGCAGCTATTTGCATAATTACAGCTTCTACTGTGTAAGCGGAACTCCAGCCCTGTTTTGTTAACAATTCCATACAAATGGCACCGCCCACAAGTACATATCCGCCTGAAAAACAGAATAATATTCAAAATGTAAATAATGAAATAAATTTTTATCCATTTATAATTTGCTTTAAACCTCTTCTCACACCTACCTGATATTATCGGATGCACAACTCGCACGAATGGCGGTTCAAATGGATAGGTTTCTTTGAAAATAATATTCAGCAATATGCTATCTTTGCCCTCCTTCTCCTTGAGCATGACCAAGTCGTTGTGTAGCGGACTATCGGGATCGACTGATTTCAGGCGTATATTCCATTCGTATATCGAATCGTTTACCAACTCTATAGAGTACATATTACTCTTAAAAGAATCGGAGCGGTAAATGTCACGCAGCTCCTTCATGAGACGGTCGGTCGCTTGTACGGAACCGGAAACTGAACCCTGTAGGTATTAGCAGTAGAAAGATAAATTAAATCAAAGATGAAACTGCCGTGAAAATCAAGAAATTGCTTCTTGGATCGACCGATTAGCATAATATGATAACAATGAACTTCATAACATCGAGCCTGTAGGTATTGAATAACCTCTCTGAGTGGAGTAAAAAGTCATTGCGTATGTTTTTCATATTTTTTAATGTCGTTTATTTACATATCCATGGTCCTCTGCAACAAGGACATAATTCAAAACTAAAAAAAACCTTACTACTGAATACCGGCATATCTCCTATCCTGGTCTAGTAATAATAATAGATTCGTGTTTACACAATATCGTCGCCTGGGTAAAAGATTGTCGTATGTTAATTTCGGTAGATTGTGGGAAATCGCGATTGAAGTTTGCAATACAATTTCTCAAAAAGGCGAAGATAGATTTTCTCCAGTCTCTGAAAATGTGACTAGTTCACAAAAGTCTAAAATTATTTAATTTTTAATGTTTATTGTTAATTAGTTTTGAGTTTATGAAGGATTTTCTTTAATAAAATTTTGTCGTAAGCGCCATTTGTCCACAATTTGGTAGCCACTTTGTATGAAATACGACAAAATGTGGTCAAAATTTCTACTAAATTAACGACACTTTTTACTCAATATCTCGGAAACTAAAGGAGATATACAAAAATGGAGAACACCATTTCTAAGGTATTGATTAGTTTAATAAGACTGCAGTTTAATAAGACTAGCTAAACTTTTACTAAATTATCGAAAAAATTGTAGGCAATATCTCGGAAACTAAAGGAGATATCTAAAAACTGTAACATCAATTCAAACACCTTATTACAAAATATATAACTGCATCTAGAACTAAAAATCGTCAAAATGGCGCTTACGACAATCTTTTGCCCAGGCGACGATATGTTATCTAGCGTTGGGCTGAGCTTCTCCTCCGATTTTTAGCGTACGCTTTCTAACCAGTACACCACAGCGACTGCTTAATAAAGGCTTAGTAAGGATTAAGACAACTCTTGCGCCCTCGTTCGCGCACTCTGAGCAACATGAGCAACCCATGTGCGAGATGCGGTAACCATTCCGAGTGGAGCCTTGGGTCACAGCAGAAAGAGAGGGAGCTTCGGCGTGGTCACTCCGACTTATTCAGTTTAAGGGCTCACAGAAGTCTGCAGCGTCTGTTCACCGGATGTCAGTCTTGGAAGAGGCGCCTCGCTATATAAACGCGTATTCTGTTGCGAAACCACCCCAGTCCCACCATTGGTTTGTTCGCTGGTTTTGCGATCCGCCACGTAAAAACTCCTTGAAGTGAAGAACAAAAACAAAGCCTTTCCTTATGATGACGGCCACGGCAAACGTTTAAAGCAGAGGTGCTCAACAAATTTAAGTTACTGAGCCAAACGACAACAACGTCAATATCAATTAAAACAGCATCGTTCTGGGAATTGCAAAAACCCAGCTAACAAATCAATGATACAAGCATACGGCTGAGCCAATGCAAGCCAAAGCAAGCCAACTCGAGGCAGCTGTGAGTGAATGTCGATCGATTTGTGTCCTGTTAGTTTTTACTGAGTCAACTTTTGTTCGTTTGTTTTACTGTGGTTTTTGTAACTGCGCCAAAGTGAGCGACAGTGATGTTGTGAGCCAACTGAGCCAATCGACTGGATGAGTACCCCTGCTTTAAAGGACCACGACCCTTAATGGGAAAGGTGCCTCTGCCCGGCTGGCTGATGTCTTCGTAAGGACAAAAGCTGATATCACCGCCATCTAAGAAATGCTTTGGACGGGGCAAGGCAAGCAATGTCTGAGGCTTTGCGACGTCTACTACAGCTTCCATGTAAAGGAGCCCAAATTCGGTGTTGGATTTGTGGTGGGAGACTCCTTTGCCGAACACTGTTGTTGTTGTTGTTGTTGTTGTTGTTGTTGTAGCGGCTACAACAGCTCCGCCCAGAACGGTTAATATCTCAGTCGTTGTCGTCAAGCTCCACTAACGGAAGCCCTAAGAAGCGTGCAACCTCAATAGGGTCGGTTCACAGGGACAAAGGCGTTAGGGTTGTCGGGTTTTACGAGCATACGAAGAGATGTTTCGAGTCATCGGGTGTCTCCGCATGCCGCACAATCATTTGGCACATCTGCGTCTTATCTGCTCAGGTATGAGTTTAACCTGCTGCACTAGCCAGAGCGAAGTTGGGCTATTGTGGTTCTAGTCTCCCGAGGCAGATGAAGATCCGTCCCGTCAATGTCCGGTGGTTGTGCGCCTAGAACGGCATTCACAGGTCTGGAGTCTACATAACTCGAGACTGACTCCGTGTGAATGCGGCTCAGAGCCTGTCGATAAGCTGACGGGTCTAGAGGTTGTTTAATAACCTCTGGACTTCGTCCGTCAGTTCGTAGAGATGCCTCATAACCTGCTGGGCGAGGGCTCTTCTGCAAGCAGTTGTCTACTTGGGTGACCACGTCTATGGCTCCCAATAAGAAACTGCTTGCAGAGCATTGTGTTATGCTCCTTGACTGGGAGCATTTTCGACTCGTAGTGCAGGTGGTGTTCTGGCGACATCAGGAGGCATCCAGTCGCTGTCCGTAGTGCGGTGTTTTGTGTAGTCTGCAGCTTCAACCACTGCGTTCTACTAGTACCCGGCGACCACACTGGTGCTGCGTAGTTTAAAACCGGCCGGCCTATTGCCTTGTATGTTGCCAGCAACGTTTCTTTGTCTTTGCCCTAAGTTCAGTCGGCTAGGGACTTGAGGACCTTGTTGCGGCTCTGTACTTTGTTGACAATAGCGCTTGCGTGCGCAAAGAAGGGCAGACTGTCGAAGGTTACTCCGAGTGTTTTGGGGTTATTCACCGTCGGAATTGGTGTATCAACGACGTGAATCCTTCGTCCAGGTAGTGAACAAGGTCGCAGAGGATTTTGTAGGGGAGCGGGTTAGGCTCCTTGCAGTGAAGAAGCGAGAAAGCTCGGAGAGATACCCGTTTACTTTCTAACACAAGTCATCTATTCCATTCCCAGACGCCATGATCGAGCAATTGTCGGCGTAAGAGACAATCGCGATTCCCTCTGGTGGTTGAGGGAGCTTTGAAATATAAAAGTTAAACAGTAGTGGGGAAAGGACACCAGCGTGTGGAACCCCTGTCTTATTTTTCTGAGTTTGCTCGATTTGTCTCTAAACATTACTGACGAGTGTCGACCACTCAGATAATTCGCCGACCACCGTTTGAGCCTCTGTGGGAGAGAGGAGGCCTCTATGTCTTCTAGTAGCGTGGAGTGTCTGACGGTGTCAAACGCCTTTGACAGGTCCAACGCTACTAGAATAATTCTCTCACAGGGACGGTTGCAGTTAAGGCCTCGTGTTATCTGAGTGTTTATGGCGTTAAGTGTTGCTGTTGTACTGTGCTATTTACGGAAACCATGCTGCTGTTTCGCTGGGGTCAGGTGGTTCGTGAAATACAGGAGCAGCAAGGCCTCTAGTGTCTTCGGGCGATAAGATTCTCCTTGTTGGCTGGTTTCCCCGGTTTGAGCAGTGGGACCACTCTCCCCATCTTCCATATGTCTGGGATGATGAGAGCGGCCATTGACATATTAAGGACCTCCGTTAAGTACGCTACTCCCGCATATTCCGTCGGGACCCATGGCTTTGTAGGCTTTCGCCTTCCCGATGGCCACCTGAACTTCACCGCTAGTGAAAGCAAGCCTTCTAGTAACTCGACGCTTGGTATTGTCCGCCGGAGGATGCAGTATGAACTGCCGGCTAAAATAGTTCGCGCGTCGCTCCGGGTCCGGTTGACTAAAGCTTACTCAAACCAGAGGTCAAGTTACAATTCTTCAGATGCTCTTCCTACTTTTTCCGCTTATGTACGTTCACAAGCTGCCGAATCTCCGCATTGAGATCCCTGATACGGGGATTTCCTGGACCGGCCTGACGAAGGTTGCCACGTTCATCGGCTAGAACAGCCGCTTCAGCAGGGAAGTTTGGACGGAGGTCCGTGATGCATCCTGCCGGTTCGAAGCAAGCTGCAGCAGCAGTGACAACCCTGCGGAACTTACGTTCAGCAAAGTGGACGTCGGTTGGTGTGGGAAGCGCAGCGAAGGTGCTCTCAGTAAATTCCGCGAAGCCTTTCCAATCAACTTTAGAAAAGTTGGTTTAACGATCGACATGCTATGGGCAGATGGTCTGATGCCAAAGTCAGCATAGGTCGCCATGATACGCTGTTTATCATTAAAGTCACATACTACCATACGTATTTCACCTCTGAGGAGCGCACCTATATCAGGGTGATATCCTGCCCGGCAGCAAGTGACAGGGGGTATGTAAACGTTAAATATTTCGAGCTCAACATCGAGCGGTCGATAAGACGATACTGCACGGTATGGTGCGCGATAAACGCTAAGCCACCACCATTTCCTCGCTCGCGATCTCGACGGTGTACGTTGTATGCGGCACAATTCAAAAATATTGAATTGCTGTGAAACTTCGTCTCTTGGACCGCAGCTATCAATATATCATGCCTTCCCATGGAGGTTACCGCCCTGTGGTGGTAGTGGATGGCGTCGCAAATGGGGTTTGCGCAACACGGGCTCTCGAAGTTCCTCGTCCAATCTCGCGTGGTGCGCAGACCTGAACATGTCCCAAAGTGGCACCAGCCAAGGCAGGTGTTGCACTTGACTGATGTCACGTTACGGAATATCCTGGTCTGACATATCGTGCAGATTGTAGAAGGAACTAGGAGTTGTTAGCGGCGGCGTGTGTGGTGGTGCAGTTGTGTCTGTTGTGTGGTGTGTCGTGGTCTATTGTGTTGTTGTGTTGTGTTGCTGTGGTTTGTATTGAGCTGCTCAGGTGGACTGGGGTTAGCCGTTAAGGCTGCTCTGTTTGAGCAACAGGGGGCCACAAATGATTTGGTCCACTGCCGATGGGTCCGTAGTCCAGAGCAGACTCTGAGGTGACTCCACCCGTCGCTAGCATTCCACTTGACTGAGGTGGAGTTGTGGCGTAGTCGTCTGTGCCA